ACAGTAACTACCTCTCCTATTACTGCTTGTTTGGAGTATTCTGTGTTAATGGGGTTAGCTAATTTAGTATTTTAACTTAAAAAGGCTCTGCTGATTAATAAATGTTGCACACTGTGCTAGTAATTAAAATAAATGGAAGAGTTATGAATAGAAGTTGAATTGTTAAGAAAACATTATCTGAAAATATATGATAATCCCTGTTTATCATAATATAATAATAGTCCAGAAAATATGCAAATTGCTAAAGTTGCAAAACATCTGAAAAACTAGTCATAACTTGAAAAAAGTTTTAGATGTTAGATTTGTAGACATAACATCCACTGTCCATTTTCACTGCAAGCATCCATTGCTCTTCAAATTCATAAATATGAAATCCAAACCTCAAGCAGCCCAAGTTGAAAGCAGTGCATAAATCTGGAAGCATCACCTACTACATTGGTGACTTTGACCTGATCAAGCAATCATGGTGGCTAAACACGTCATGGTGGCTTGATTAAGCTGTCTCACACACCATGCACAATTTACACACTCACTCACCTAGCCCTGCGTGCCGAGTTGTGTGAACCTGGGGAACATGGCTTGTTGGCGGGAGCAACAACCCTCCAATAACGCAGTATTACATAACAGGATATCTGAGGTTTCTTTGCTCCCTTTAAACAAACCTGGGTTTATATGATAAAAACCATGGCTGAATGGGTGCTTATGCAAATTGTGCTTGGCATGTGTCATGACTTAAAAAAAGCTACTATGGCTGTTTTGAAAGACTGGTGGATAAAATTCAAGTTTTTACATTCAACCTTTCTTTCTCACTCCCAAGAAAGTCCTACTGATGGATTTCATTTCCCTGCTCCTTGAAAAAGAGTATCGGCACTGGAGTATCAAAATGCACAGGGTTGATAATTGATAATACTTTGAGCTATAGGGATGCCACCCCTACTAAGTGTGGCAGATGATTTTGGGTCTCATGAAAGGGAAACAATTAGTTATTTAATTATTGTTTTATTTTTATTGCCAAATAAAAATATACATGCTAGTGGAATTTCCTGCCTTGGCAACCAAAATAACTTCGCTTTTGTTGGATACTGTGCACTTAGAAGTTGAGGGTGTGGGAATGGTATTTGCTGTACAGCCTCAGGCATGCTCAGATAGACACATGTATTAATTTAATTTCTATACTGCCCAACAGCTGAAGCTCTGCATGCATGCATCATCTCTGGATCTTTTGTCATGAAACTGTACAGAAATTAAAAAAACAGAATGCATCCTTTACAATATAGCCTCAAAAGCAGAAAGGATACAAAACTAAATTGTGAGTCTGGTACTTTGTCAGCCAAGCTCTAGTTACAGTCACTAATGCATTTATTTATTTTATTATCAGTTGGTTAATTATACAAATTTATTTACCATTTTCCACAAAGGTATGAAAGTGGTAAACATAAAATACAATAGAATAAAAACAATAAATATAACAACAAAGACAATGCAATACCAATTAATCAGCAATAAAACTTCACACTCTACTGCATGCTGCTATCTATAGCTGGGTGGTCACACTTCTGGAAAAGCGTATACAAAGAGGTAAGTTTTAAAAAACCATCTGCATGTCAGAACTGTGTGGGTCCTTGAATATCAATTGGTAAAGAGCTCCAGAGGGATGGTGATGCTCTACAGCAAGTGCTTCCAAGGAGAACCTCAGGTTCATGTTGTACCCACAAAAGCCCTCCCTCTGATGATTGGGCAGGGACATAAGGGATGTGGCAGTCCTTTAGTTAAACTGATCCCAAGCTGTTTAGGGCTTTATATATTAACAGCAACACCTTAAGCTTGGCCAGGTAATGTATTGGAAGCCAATAGAGTTTAGTTGACTGGTACTTCTTGATGTTGGATGAAGACCCCAGTTATCATTCTGTACCAGCCACACCTTCTGGACCAAGCTCAAAGATAGCCTCATATAGCACATGTTACAATAACTCATTCTTAAGGATAACAATGCCTGTATTGCTGTGGTGAAGCTACCATGGTACAGGAATGGCCATAGCAGGCATGCCAGCTAAAACTGGAAAGAGGCACTCCTAGCCACTGAAGTCTTCTGAGCATCATGACAAACATGAATCAGGACTATCTCCAAGTTATACGCCAGTTTCTTCAGGGGGGAATATAGGCCACCCAAAAAGAAACTGATTTTATTTCTCCACAATGCTTCTATTTTTCCAGGATTCAAGCTCAGTTTATTGGTCTTCATCCAACCCACTACAGCATCCAAGCAGGCAGAGCCACACACCTGATTCAGATGTTATGGAAAAACAGAGGTAGGGGTTAACTACATGCTGATGACACCTCACTCCAAAACTCCATTTGATTGCTTCAAGTACATGCTGAACAGAACAGGGGATAGCATAATATCCTGTGATGCCCCATAGCATAAGTCTCAAGAGATCAAGGTACACTCTCCCAACACTATTCTCTGAGACGGAACCCACAGATAGGAATGGAACCTCCAAAGTACAGTGTCCTGATATCCTTCCCATAAAATCAGTCTAGGTGGACATCATGGACAGTGGCATCAAAATCTAAAAATAGATTGAAAAAGAGGAACAAGGTTCCATTCCTTCTATACCTCTTTTGATAAGGGTCATCTAATAGGGCAACCAAGATCATCAATTCAGTCCCAAAACCAGGCTTGAAACTAGGCTGGAACAGTTTTAGAGAATTGGTTTCATCAAATAATTTATTTATCTCTGCCATTGCCCTGCCACAACTCTGTCACGTAATTTTGTCATAAACCCTCAGGACAAGAGTGCGCTTCTTTAGGAAGAGTCACAGTACCACCTTCTTCAAAGCATCAGCCACCATTCCTTCACACAATGAAGCTTCAACCCCACCCTGGACCTAACCGGCCATTACCCAAGAAGGCCACAGATTGAGAGGTTGACTACATGACTGCAGGCACCTTGTCCACATCTTCAGGCTGCCTTAACTGAAACTGATCCCACAGAATGTGGCTAGATGAAGCACTGGACACCTCAGTTAGATCTGCCATAACAGTAACATCTACACTGCTTTGAAGCCAATTACTTTATCCTCAAAGTTTGATGAAACAGTGGGTCTCTGAAGACTTTAAAGGAGCTGCTAAAGGAGTGATTAGTAACCACCTTAAAAAGCTCCACTGGGTGGCTACTAAAAGATGCACTGCTGCATGCAAAATAAGCTTTCTTTTCATAGGCTGCATCACCACATGGCAAGCACAATTATGCGATCTAAGAAGTAGTCAGTTGGCTTCAGAGCACCTGCAGTCTAATCATCTAAGCCATCATGAGGCTATGCAAAGGATGGGATAGAAATGTTTTAAATAAATCTTCCATAGTGCTTCATTGATCATAATATCACAGAATACTATGAAGGAAAATGGGTTCTGTGCTGCTGGAAAGGAGCAGTTGTATCAGTGGCCTTTGGATCTCATCATTCCACAAAGAGGAACCTCAATAAAATTGCCAGTTTTATCCATTGGAAAATCTCCCAAAGTATGAAGGAAGTCATCTGACTCCATAAATATGATTCCACCAACACTGCATCTGAGATGATCTGGTCAGCTTAGTTACAGAGACCACTAGGCAGCTAGATGGATGTACACCAGTAGCATCCCCCATCTGCTCCTCTGAACCAACACCAAATGCAGGGCTAACAGTCCAGCTTGCGGGCACAGTGATTTCCTGATGACAGAGATGTACACCTGATGGACCACAACAACCCCTCTCCCACAACTATCCCTTAGTCTGTCACAATGCCGTATTGACTACCCAGCAAACACTGCTAGGTGAGATCAGGTTCATCTCTCTCATCTATCCCAGGCCTCAGTGATGTACGTGAAGTTGGGTTCACTCATCCACAATTAAGTCATGGATAAGTAAGGTCTTGTTCCAACCTCCCCTGGCATTTAGCAACATCGCCAGACCAGAAGGTCACCTGGCAACCCACTGTACCACAGCAGGCCTGTAATTTTTAGCATGGAGGTCTAGATGCCACCAAGTATACAGCTGCTTGTAGGTTCTCCTCCTACTGCCTTGGCTACAAATTAAGCATTGCTCTGCTCCAATAAACCTCACTACTGAACAGGCTGTTAGGCCAGCATCTTTCTGACATATTTATGTTTATTAAAGTATATAAATGAAGCTTGCAGTCTGCACATGCACACACGCATTCCTCACTGCTCAGGAACTCCTTCAGTCCCTCAGTACTGGTTCAAGCGTGTGAAGAGGCAATAACAATCTCTCAGCTCAACATGTTATCTTGTACAGAAATTTGTCTAATCTCTTTTAGGAAATTACTTTCTGAGTTTGTTCTGTTAGATTAAAACAATCATTTTCCAGGTTTTTTTAAATACTCAAGATGTATTGGACTATAGAGTTTTAAATTTCTGAGTGTTGCAGGATTACCTTAATTATTTCTCAGATCAGTTAGAGCATACATGCACAAAATGTGGTGGCAGTAATGAAACTACTGTTGAAAACTTTCAGGTGCTTGGACTGTATTTATTGAAGGGCCGGTGGCAGTTCTCACTTGGCCAGAAGAGTCTGCTTGACCAATATTTGTTAGACCATGATCAGTGTTGCTCTTGTCTTCTAAGGCAAGTAATCTAACTGTTTAAGTGGGGTTATTACAAAATAATAATCCAGTTCACAAATCAATCAAAATGAAATTGACTTAGAGTTGAACTGATTTAATCATCATTGACCTCAACTGAGCTAAACAGGTTTAAATCCAAGTAACTGCCCAGACAGGCTTGGCTACTGGGTAGAATAAAAATGCAATAAATAAATAAGTATTTTAGCTTTCCTGGATTAGGATTTAAGACAAGTAGTACTTTTTCAACAAGACATTTACAGTTAGACATACCTGTACATGTTTTAAACCTTTTGGAATCCACTGCTTCTTTGCTTCTAACAATGACAGCAAAATAAATAGAAGATGTATAGAGAAAATGAGAAGGGAAAACAAAGAACTTACACATTGTCATGTATACGGTTTCTCCATTCTTCTTGTTTTACTTTTTCTCTGGCAAGCTGTAGTGAAAAATTTGATGCTGCTCCCTGCAAAGATGGTTCTAAAGGCTTGAAGCGCTGTTGTAGTACTTCACCAGTATTACGAAAGGGTCCCTGACAGGAACAGGAGAAAGGTATGTGTTTTATACTGGAGTTGTTCATCTTTTGCTGTTTGTGATTTGAATCCTCTTGACAGAAAGTACTAATTTTAAAAAGAATTACTAACATATCCACATATTCAATATCACATACATTAAAACTAAAATTAACGAATTATTAAAAAGCAAAAGCATTTGGTACAGATTATTTCCAAAATGGTATCCATGATCATCTGGGGCACAGAATCAAAGGCAAAGCACACAGAACCTTGTGGCACCTTAAAGTGTCTTTTTTTTTTTTTTAGTCTTTAAAGTGCCACCACATTTCTGGTTGTTTTCGTTCTGATAGATGTTGATCACATAAAGCGGCGGATAATATGCCTATAAACTGCCAGAAGAAATGGACAAGATCACTTTTTGTTACTAAAACCAATTCCCTTGAAAAATAATTGACAACACAGTCCTACTTCAGAAGCAGACCTTAGGCTGCAGTCCTATATCCATTTACCAGCTCATGTGAATACAACAGCACTTACTTTTGAGTAGATATACAGTTGTGCTGCTAGTGGAGGTCTTTATCAATACTTTGGGATAAACATACTTCCCAACTATAGTCTTCCTTTGCCTGTGCCTAATGAAAACACCAATCTTTCAGATTCCAAAATATTTCTATGCCATTATGATCTGAACAAGGAAATAAATTAATGCTAAAATCATGAAATACGAATCAACAATAATTAAAAAACTCAATTAAAATCTCCATTCTGTTTGAACCACAAGGAAACATATGAAAATAAATTTGCAAGTATTTTAACATTATGAAATAGTTTTTGTTTTATCAGTACCAGAAAGAAGTTTATTTCTTTTTCATGCTCTAATATTTTCATGAAAAGTTGAATTTAGCATTTAATCAGTTTACAAATAATTCTGTGATGCTTTCCTACATATTAGGTGAGCTGTTCTTTATGCTGTTAATAGCCAATACCTATATTTGCCTCTAATGACTTGAGCCAACTTACCACAAGTATCAGACGAAGTGATAAATCAAACTATACAGCAGGACTTGTATTAATGAGAGCTCCTTTAAATAAAAAACCTACATGTCACTACCTTAACACTCCATGTTCTTGTCTAACAGCACAACCCTATCCATGTCTACTCAAAAATATATCCCACATCTCAGATTTCTTCTCAGGTGAGTAAATATAAGATTGTAGTATAAATTATTTCATTTTGGTGGGGGATTTCACCATATAGGCCAGTTCAAACCCAGGCTTACACCTAATGTGCTGTTCATGAAATGTAGATCTGATAAAAGACAACACTATCCAGCATTGTAAAAATGACATATCACCACTTGCCTTTAGGTAGTAATCAGTCAAAATTCACTAGGAATATTGTTAGTACTACAACTGAATGCAGTTTACAGGCAGCTCTGACTTTTGCTGAGTTGTTAATTATAGTTTATTTTCCTTTTTACCATTGTTGTTCTAGTACTGAAGTAGGGAAACACTCTCAAAACAATAAAAAAATTAAAAAAGCAAGTGGGGGCAAAAGTCCTAATCATGCCTCTTATTCTGAAGGATTTCTTTCTTTAAATAGGTTATCACTAACAAGTCACAGCTGGAGTTACTGCAAGAACTGAGTGAAGACTGCAGGGCTAATAAAAAGAAATGATTCACGCCTCATTTATGTTCACTTATGTTTTACATTAATAGAAACCAATAATAGGAACCAGTTACCATAAAAGTCACAGACCGTAAATAACACAAATGGCAAATAAGTATCATCTAGTACTTTTCACAGCTGGACAGGAGGATTGCTATATTTGAAAGTTGTTAATGGATTTTTATTGGAACTTTACTTTTTAAAGGCATAGTCCTCCAATTTTCTGGCCTCAACAAAAGAAGGCATGAAAATAATCATAATAGTTACTCATTGTGCAAAATTTCCCCCTACCCAAGTCCACTTCTATAACAATTATGCTAAGAATAAATTTATTTTATTGGGAGTATTACAGAACTTTTAAGGGAGTGAACAAAGCTAAAAAGTTTATAAGGTATCATAGGAATAACAAATGCAACCAAGTAATTGACTCAAAATAATACATATTACTTATTCATGTTATCTAGGAAATTTGAAATAACATAAAATGAGAAAAAGAATTAACCATTTCCTTTTCTGGTGATCATGGTTTTCAAAGTACAGAATGTGTGATATGTGTGTTCACTGACAAAATCAAGACTTTTGTTGCTTTCTATTTCATTTTTTTTTAAATATTGGTTATGTTCCATCTTGGTTGTATGTTGGTGTTACTAACTCAGTCCAGGATAGAGTAGATCATTCTCTACTGCAGATTCCAAGGGCCATTTAATTTAATGCTGAATTTTATTCTGTCAGCACTATCCACACCCTTTCAGTACCTAAGGAACACAGAGCGGTCCCTTCTCTTAGCATGAATGGGGACCTCACATGAGTACACACTTTGGGATTTCATTTTAAAGCAATTTTTTTACTCCATTCATATGGGCAATGGGCACATCAAGCAAGGGTAACAGGGATTAGGAGAGGGTGTGTATATAGGTACTGAAAATTACTCAAGCCCTGTCACTCACACAATTGTGACAGATAGAGGGGGAGATTTGCCTAATCAGGTAGCTATGGCTGATATTTTATGTTACTATCTCGCAGCCTCCCTGTTTCAGGAAGAATCTCCTGATCCAGAAGTTCTAAGTGCGGGCTTTCAAAAATGGTGCCCATGGACATCTCTCTGCAAAGCAAAGTTCTGTCCATTATGCCCAAAATCATTCTTCATGTTCAAAAGAGTTGTTTTATATTTTGGAGCTTAGACCTCCTTTGAACTTGTATTTTGGTTTTAGGGCAAGTTACTTTCTTATTCATATCACCAATATGCCTTTTGGGAAATGAGTATTCTGTGACTGGCCATGCCCTTCCATGGCACTCGTTTTGTGAGGCTTCCCATGTCACTTTCACAATTTCAAATGTGCACACTGGTGCAAAAGGAGTTGAAAGGTGGAGGCGACCGGCATGGACTGGTGAGGCTGTGGCAGCGGGCGGGCATGGCGGCGGCTCGCTCACTCAGAGATCTCCCAACGAGTCCAAAACCATCTCCGAGTAAGCAAGCCACCGCCTCCCCGCCCGTGTGGTGAGCGTGCGCGCGGGTGGCAGCACAGGCCGGATAAATGGGCATGGCGGGCCAGATCCGTCCCGCGGGCCATAGTTTGAGGACCCATGTTCTACCTAGAGAAAACAGTTTATTTTATACTGGTTTTTGTCCCACAACACCCCCCACAAATCTTCTTACCCATCTCTTCCATTTCTGCTTTCACACTCAACTTGTACCCTATCTGAAACTGCCATTTTCTTTTATCCATCCTTTCTGTTCTTTTATATGTACTATCTCTTCACCCTTCTCTTTACTCTTTATTCTCATTCTTTAAAACATCAGTAACAACAACAACAATTAGCTTTCTTATCTAACCAACTCTTTCTGCAACAAGTGCCTATTCAGTACACAGCCAAAGTACAGGTTAGGCCAAGCAAAACGGAACCAGGTAGGCTGTAGCACTGAGACCCACTTGAAAATTGGCTGAGAGCCACTGCTAGGACCAAACTCATAAAAACACTGGTCTAAAGGTCTGATTTAAAATTCTGATAATAATTCTTCTTCCAAGCACTCGTACCACTGAAGTGTAAATACCAAAGTATGAAATTTGAGGTCTCCATGTTCTGCCAGTTTTGTGGCCTTGACAAACATCATAAAACTGTAGACATTTTGCTTTTGCTGTTATCACCAAAGCAAAGTGAATACCTCTACTTTGCATTGTCCCTTGCAAGCTGTTAACTCCTAAGTTACTTCTTTTACATGTCACAGTAAGCTTGAATGCATGCTGCCCAACTGTTCCTGCGACAAGCAGAAGAATCTAAACAAGTTAAAGGCCTTCTAACCATGGCTTGGCTAGCATTACATGTGAAGTAGGATCCCTGGCTCATTTTTCCTATGGGAAGACAGAGGAATAGCCCACAGGTTGCTCTTGACTGTTCTTGTACTAGCATGCTGCCTTGTTCATAATAATACTGAATTTTCAAAAAAAAATCCTATCTCGGAGAACACACCAGGGTGATATTCCACATGTTGCCACACCAGTGCAACATCACAACTCAAAAATGTCTTGCTGCAAGTGTCATTGTTTTGATCCTATCTGTACTTTGTTTTGCATAACAGATTAGAGGAAAAAGGAAAAAATAATAAAACAATTTTCCTGCTCCTATTAATGAAATTTAATGAAGAAATAACAAATTTATCACCTTTGCTTCCATAAGGCTATCATCCTTATTAATTCAGCAATAAAATTCATAGATCAGACATAACTTGTATCAGCAGCATCGAAACTTTTCTTTCTATCCACTTTCATGGGAAGACAGTGCATTCTCACGGAACACTAAATGCCAATTTCCTTAACCAAGTACCAAAGGATAACCAAATGTTTATTCTCTCAGAACTGGACACAAATTCACCTCTTATTTAACTCTATCCTTGAACAGAGTTTTGATATCTTAACACTTACATGAGACCTCGTGTAAAGTACAGTTTAATGTCATATACTACTGTCATCGAGTACTAAGCCAAAGGATGGCTAGCAATTATAAATCCCTCATTGTCACAACACCAGACCACTTTCAGAACCATGCATTCTGCTGGATTTTCATTTCCAGCTGTTTCATCAGCTCAGACCAATGTCCTTTCCTAGACATATACCTCTAAATTGTGTTGTCCAGGGATTTAGCCGTGTGACTCCCATTAACATCAATAAGAGTCGCGCAGTTAAATCCACGCACCATACTTTGAAAATTTACTCCACAGTGTACATCCCAGGGCACTGAAAGGATTAAAGTATTATATAGCAAATTCCCTTTTCAAGTCACAAGGAAATAAACAGAAGACTTCTGCTTTGTTCTAAATGGCTTTGTTCTGCAAGTTTCTTTGTTGGTGTACACTTTAAAAAAGTCTACAAAAGGTTTAAGAGAAATTTATCAGATCAACATATTGTACAATGAATCATGCTTTTGCAAATGGGAGAAGGTAACTTGGAAAATCTATTTACACTAAGGAATCGCTTAATTGATTATAATTGACCACTAAGCAATATAGCCAGCTTTTAATGCAGAAATTTGCAGCCTGTAGCATAGCATATTGTCATTTCCTTTTTTATTTTAAAATATTCATAGATTCCCTGAACAATAGTAGGACTGGGAAAGATATACACCTGAAGAATATATGTTGACTCTTCTAGACCTGCTAAATTTATCTGTTACTATATGTAAATTATTGGTACTATTTAGATTATAGCACATATTAAATTCTTAGTGGGTAGAGTGCAAGGGAAAGTCTGGTAAAGAAATGAAGGTCATTTGGCATTACTTTGTTAATTTGTTTCTGAGACTGAAATTTAGTTTGGAGAAAAAAATAATACAGAACATTTATAGGACTGTGTTCTTTCTAATTAATGGGCACAACATAATGCTTTGGGGCAGGACATTCAGGGACTGTCCCTACACCTTTTTGGTTTTCCTCCATAGTGCCCTACTTTGGAACATGTACTTATGGAGTTGTACCTGAGGAGGGACAACATCATTCTTTACAATATTCAGGAAAATTCTGTGGGTTTGAGTATTTGCAGTTTCCTCCAGAATGGAAATGAGCATGGAGATTCATATGAACGTAGGCACACTAAAGAGAAACTCTTCTCCATAGACATGTTCCAACAGTGAAGGGCTTGTTGACAAATTGTATTGACTACTAAACATATTGGTTACATTTCTGTTACGACTGATTAAAACAGACCTATGTTTTCCAGTGTAGCTGAATAACATAGCAATCACATTTTGAAATTGAAAGTGAAAAATTGTACGCACGGTACGGTTCATGTTTGATATTTTATGTGCCTTTTAAAACAATCACATAAAGATGGAAGCAAAAATCTTTCAATCATTTCATGAATGTTTGTCCTAGAATAATTTATTAAGAGCATTCTGCTCCAGTGTCCATTGTTGAAAATGCTTGCCCAGGACTCACAAATAGGTATTACCTGAGGTTTCTGTCTTCCAATGGGAGGAAGTGGTGGCACTGTTTGGAAGCCAAAAGAATCTGCATATTTGAGATTGGTAATGTCCTGGATTCCTTTCTTTTTATGCCTCAAAGGTTTAACTTTCCTTAATTGCAATTCCATTGGATCAGGAGACGATCTGTAGGGTGAGTTGTATACACCTGCAATCTAAAAATACGACACATGTACTTTCAATGATTTTTAAGATCCAGTTATTAACAATTATTATATAGAGACAAAATTTAAAACTTCAGTGAAACAAAGGAAAAAGATAAAGGTATACTACATCACACATCAGTTTCACACCCATCGGAGTTTTGCTGTAGAACTGAAATGGTATAATGGCTTTCAATGTTTTTTCTACAAGAAGCCTTTCTGTACTGCCATGGAACCTTTCTGAAACATTGCAGAGTACATTCATAGCTTTTTTTTTTTTGGCTTACATGATTGAATAGTGAACCCTGGAACACATCCAGAATTTACAAAGGAAGACATGAAGCTGCCACATACCAGGTCAGGGCAGCGTTGGTTTAAGACCTAAATTTTATGTCCACTGCATCCCAGGAGCTGTATTCACTATGCCCGTGTAGTTTCAAATGAGCCAATACTGCTCCTTCCATGCAGTCCTTGATATGCACTATATGGGCACACACTAGCCTACCTCTGTACACACATCAGCTTACTGGCTCAGAGTAACTGTGGATCATGTAAATCATCAAATCAGCACCCCAAAATGATACATTACTGATGTGTTGTTTTAAAAGCACAATAGCCACCTTAGAATATTATTGTAGCCTACTGAAGCAATGTTTGTGGATATAACTTAATTTAGATTTGGATGACAATATTTTCTTAACAGTTAAGACAGTTGAAAGCTCTTGAATAAGAGAAATGAAGAAAATATTAAAACACAGTCAAAGCAACATTCGAGGAAAAAGTAAAATTTTATACTGCTGCATCTGCTGCTGGTTTTTGGATCCTAGACAAAACTTAGAAAGAGTTCAGGTCCTCAGAATGTATTAACCTCTTGGGAGTAAGACAATTAGCTGTAATGTACTTTTCATTAGTCTGTCCCAAAGGAAGGTTGCAACTACGTGTCAAAAAGTTAAGTAAGCTTTTATCCGTCTATATATATTGCTGTTAAATGTTTCAAACCCATGCTTCTACACAGGGGAAGAAAAAATGACTTGGTGACTGTCAGGTATGAACAAAAGAATTTCTAAGCATTCCTTCAAGCATTTTGCCTTGTTTTGCAGCTTTTGAAAGCTAAGATACCCATTTTGAGAAGTGACCAGAATTCTGCACAGTATTCCTGACACTACATGGAATTATACATAGTCATTAAAATGCTGACTGCTTTATTTTCAGACTAATTCTTAAAAATCCAAGCAAAAATATTTTTCCTTTCTCTAAGCCACAAACTGAACTGGTATTTCCATTGAGCTTCATACAATAATACCAATATCTCCATCAAAATATATTTGAAAGTGAATGGGGAGTGCCCACAAATTCATCACTTTATGAACCTCATTTGTCATTTTCTTGCCTGTTTATTAAGTTTGAAGAAGTCCTTTTGAAGCTCTCTGTCTCTCTGAGTTTTCCAGCATAATTTATATCATGTAGTTTTGGGTACCTTAGCATTTAACCCTGATTTTGACAATTAATGAATAATTCAATAATTCTGGTGTCAATACATATGCTGTTTGCTTTCTTCCTTGTGATAACTGACCATTATTGTTTCCTTTGTAAAAACTGTCTATTTATTCTGTTTCTGCCTGATTCATTTCCTACTCTGTCAAAGAACAACACACATCCTCTAATCCTATGAATCCTAGGTTTACTCATGAGAGCTATGGTAAAGCTTTTGCCGTCCTTTTTGAAGTATGAGTTTAAATATCCACTGGACCATTCATATCTCTACATTCTTACTGCCACACTCGAATTCCAAAATATTTGTAAAACAGGATTTTCCTTTCAAAAATCATTTTGCTTCTTCTACAAGCGTCGTTCTTTTATATCTAATAATTCCATTGTATAATTACACCTGTCCTTTATATCTACTCTCAAGTTCTACTCTGCCACCACTCAGATATCCTAAGAGACACTATTATCATAAAGTGTAACTCTTCCCAAGCAGAATACTTACCAATTCCTATTCTACACCTGTACAAGAATGACTACTGAATTGTTTTAAAATTACAAAGAATTCTCCACTGCTCATCTTGTCATGTTGTTAGTAGTATTACTACTACTTTCATTTCTATACTGCTGAATAGTGTACATTCTCTAGGTAGTTTACAATAATAGCAGTGATGTTATTGTTATATCCGTAAAAATCAGGTGCATGGATTAAAAATAAATAGCATTTTTTTAAAGCAAGAGGAGTACAGGAAGGGACAAAAGTACAGTGAGGTACTTATTTTAACTTGCACCCCACTTCCTACACATCTACAGAATGTACAGAATAATGGGTAGCACAATGCTGATATATTGCCTTGTGGCATGATCCAGCCAACCACTTTTAATTCATATTTATTTCAATGGGAGTGTTATGCATGTGCTTAAATCCTTCCCTCTGATACCAATAGGACTTGAAAGTGTTTTGCTATAGTTGGCTCTTACCCTTGCTTTGTGCTAGAAACAATGAACTCCTAGAACTACATAGCTCAATCTGAGCATGTATGAATTCATGATATGAACAGATCCTTGAGCTCTGGTATTTATAAAGCTTCCCACTAGTGCTTGCCTGGGGTGGAAATGAATAATCACTTTCTTCTCACTCCATTCATCTGACCACCACCTCAGTTTTCTATAGAAAGGCAATGTGGGAATGAACTAACTGAGGATTGGAATATCAGAACCCTAGAGACACTTTCAATATCGTGTGTTTTCCTTTTTATCCCTCAATATGCTCAATTACAAAATCTTCAGTATTACCTTTATAGAGTAGAAAATACACATTTGAATCATTGCCCTGTTATTTGATTATCCACTTGTTCAATACTTGGGTGGCTTTTGAAAAAGCCAAAGCAGCTTTTCAGCTTCCTTCCTAAGTAGTATTGTAGGTGCCCTCATCCCCTCTCCCCTCCCTACCCCTTCACATCTAGTCTATGGAGAGCATGACACATTTTTTTCTATATCCATGTTCTTCACAAGCTCTCTCAGAAGGGCTTCTGTCAGAGCTGGCTTTCTGGGACTTCATTTTCAGGAACAATTTTCTGAAGTGACAAACACTATAGGGAAATCTGTGCTAACCGTTAAAAAACCTACAACTGAGTTATTTGCAGTACTGTCATGCTAACTTTCAACTCAATAAGACCAAAGAAATCTCTGGGGGAGACTCTGCTAATAGCTTCTTACTGACCTCCTTGCAGCACGCCCTCCTGCTGAAGAGTGGCCCAGTGGTGAATATGGCAAATGAGGTGTGAAAGCTCTGTGGATGTTTCTTCTAAGGCTATGATTTTGACTTACCACAAAAATAAAAATGGAACTACACACACTTTCTTCTCTTTTGCCCTACAATTCCCTCCTCATCAGGCCTTCCACAAGGGAAACCCATGCATGATCAAGAAGTATTGCTCATTTTTTCAGATTCTGAGTATATGAACAAATGCAGCATTTGTTACCCATACTTAGCATTACATTAATACTTTGAATCATTTTGATTTCTAACAAGGTTTCATTTTGTTTTCTTCATATAATTTTTAGTCTTAGTAATTGCAAATAGCATACAGAGGGCAAAGGGGGAGGGAGGAAATTTTGCTTGGAGGTATCAATTTCATGTATTAGATAAATATAACATAAAAATATTTATACCATTGTTATTCTGCACTAAGCAGATAATTTTTGCAGGAAACATCATAGCCCTCTAATTTCCTTTGATGAAAATTATAAGTTATGTTTTTCATTGTTTTCCAGAGAGTAATTTCAGAATTAGGAGACAATGTGGGACCTGTATTCTGCTTATGATTGCCAACATTTGGAGGAAGTGTACCACAAAGCACATAGGAAGCAGACTATCAGTCCATCTGGCTCATTACTGTCTACAGTGACCAGCAGAAGCTCTCCAGGGCTTCAGTGGCCCAACACTGTGAAACTCCCTTCCTATTGTCATGTGCCCAGACCCTTCTTAAGAGGAATTTAGGTAATCATTAAGCAAATTTCTATTTAAAACTGCTCTTTCCTGAATCTGTAATTGGCTTGAGTGCACAAAGCAGATTTGAACATTATTCTGAATTATTACTACAGCTGCTGTGTCTTCTATCTGACCGTGCTCTTGCTTGCACGCTGCTTAATGAGGGCATAGCTTTGAAAAGTAGCTTAGAAAATACTTCAATGAAATAACTATATGATCAATCTTGGGCCAATAAAGCATGGTTTATCAGCCTGAGAACAAACTGCATAGATGCATGCTCTCTTTTTGCTCTCCTGCATCTCATCTTCTTCTCACACACCTGCCCTCCAGACCTTCTATCCTGGCTTATTAAACATGCCAACCAAACAAAGAAAATGTGTTTAATCTGTGCTTACAAGCCAAATATGAAACAATGATCAAAAAACTTTTTCTACAATGAAAAGCTCTTTGACTTTAGAAAGGGGACAACTAAGCAAAGGCAGGATAAACAGGAATAAGATGGGAGTATAGATAGAGTTTTATCTCTCTTCCATAACAGTAGACACAAGGATTACCCAATAAAACCGAATGACAATAAATTTTAATTAAAGGGAAGTACAATTTCACATATTGCATATCTAAATTATTGAACTGACCATCACAGGATGTGTGCTTGCTGTTCAAATAACTTTACAAAAATGGTTAAACAAATTCATGGAGGATCTGTCAAACTCAAAGCTAAATCAACTTTTGTCCTTAGTAAGAATAAGAACACAGGATACTACAGACAGGAACAATAAACTAGCCTCCTTGAGCATTTTTTTTCTTAGCAGAAAGGCAGGTTGCATTCCAGTAACTGTCATTCTTTGAGTGGTCATTTGTGCATTCACACATATGGGTGTTGCACCTGCGCGGTGCCATATTTGGGAAGATTCCTCTAGCTAAGCCTAGAATTTTTGGTGGGAGTCCTGCCTCCCGTTTCCATTTATTTAAATAGGTGGGACCCCGCCATTTTCTCAGTCCAACTAGATATTGATGTTTGCCCCTTATCACT